GTTCAGCAGACAATGGAAAAGTTTTATCTTTTGAAACTCCTTTGCAGCCATCTGATGACCAGCAAGAGACTCTCCAAAGGCTTCCACCATCAGATGTGGCAATTGAAGGTGAAAACCAGCAAGACTCTCAAAATGAAGTGCCAGTAGACCAGGCTGGCATTGAATTGTGTGCCTGTCAGGAGGCAGAACAGCCTACTAGCAGTGCTGATACAGGAGCTATTGACTCTGCTGTTGGTAGTAGAAGAGGTATTAGTGAAACAGAATCTATTGACCAAGGGTCTGAACCTTCCCAGGTGTCATCAGAAACTGAGCACAGTGACCCTGCTCGCACAGAGAGTGTTAGTGAGGCTAGTACTAGGCCAGAAGGGGAGAGTGATGTTGAAGGAGCAGACAGCTCTTGTAATGAAAGTGTGACCACACGGCTGTCATCAGTTGAAACACGATGTTCATCTTTTGAAAGTGCCAGGTTTCCTGAGACTCCTGCCTTTTCATCTCAGGAAGAGGAGGAGGGTGCTTGTGCCACTCATGTGGCTAGAAGTGAGCCTGCTGCAGAAACACAGGAGACTATGCGCTGTCCTGGCTCTTTACCTGTAGTGAGATTACCAAGCACTCAAGAGGAGGGGCAGCTGGCTGAAGGAGGTAGTTTACAGGATGGAGAGGAAGCAGAAGAGATTTGGCAAAGAAGGAGGAGCCTGCAGGCTGCTGCTGCTGCTGCTGCTGTAAGCAGCCAGTCCCAGGATGAAGAAACTGGAGATGCTCAGGAAGCTTGTGAGGGAGCAGCTGCACCAATTGAAGGAGCTACTGGAGGTAATGTCTGTAGGTAATAGGCAACAATGCATTCATTAGCAGAGCTACTGAAAATACAGAATTAATACAAAATGAAAGAAAAATAAATAAATCACAAAAATGTGAAGATCTGTTAAGACAGTTTTACTTCCTTGTTCCCATTCATATTTTTAAAATTTATTTTGGTTTTGAAAAAAACATTTTAGCATAAAAAATATCAGTTTTGAAACCAAAAATGTTATAGTTAGGGGGAAAATGTGCATATATTTCTGTGTTGAATGAAAATGTTAGTGGGTAAAAACAACAAAGCCTGAAAACTAGTACCTGAGAATTTGAGGGGTTTTTGTTTTGGGAGAAAGGGAAAAAGTATGCATAATAAAATATAAGAAGGATTCAGGATTTTTTTTATAAAAAGAATTGCATATCACTTTTAAAGCTAATTCTTCTTTGTGTTATAAATTCTTCCTTGTTCATTCATTATTAATAATAACCTGAAAAGCTAATTTAAGTCATGCTAGCTCCAAAAAAGGCACCAACCTAGTTGTAATTGTTCTTAAACACATGCTGCTTCTTCAGTGATGAACTGGGGATTTTTGGGAGCTCCTTGATAACATATTACCATCATATTTTAGGATATTAGAGGTAATTTCTCTGACTCTCACGGAGTTGATCGTCCTCTGGACATTCCTGCAGTAAATCATTCCTGAAAGTTAAAGACTTAAGACAAGTATATCAAGTACTTCTGAAGAGCAGCTTTTGACTTTTGATTATATCAAATTGCACCAGATATCAGAGGAAATAATATCTCTCTGAATTCTACACAAAAGGAAAAATCCTGGTATTGTAAAAGTCAATGAGAGTTCTGCTGGCTTCAGCTGAGTCAGGGATTATGCAGGGATTTATTTTATGCATAGTTTCAACATACTGATGTATTTTTCAGCAACAAGGTGTAACAAGGTGTAAATATTTCCAGCAAAGTGTATTTAATAATTCAGGCTTGTTTGGGGTTGTCATGCGTAATAGTTATGGGTTTTTCTTTAATAGAGCAAACCTTTCTTAAGTAGTTTTCTTTATCCCTGTATATCAGAGCAAGCCTCACTCTTCAGTTAGAGACTGAAAAGTCTTATTATTGTGGGACACCTTGTTAAAATATTGTGAATATATCCTTGTAGTTTTATGTTTCAAGCACCAATGGCCAAGGTGTTCTATTTGAAGGTATTACTTTATATTATTCCCTTGAAGTCAATAAAGATATGGCAGTGTACCTCAGGAAAGAATTTGGCCTTGAGGTTATGGTATTTGGGTTTCTCTGGTAGTTTTACGTGATCTATATGCTCTGAAAGAGGTAGATATGAGTTGGCATTCCTTCTTGAGATTTGAGATTGTAGGCAGAAGCCATAATCTCTGTTGTGCAATTCAGAGACAACTCAACAGAAAAAAACACATAACTTCTTTATGTTTTAATTCTAGGTTCTCAAGCAAATGGCCACCAAGCTTTGAGGTCACTACCTTCGGTGCGTCAAGATGTCAGCCGATATCAAAGAGTGGATGAGGCTCTACCACCAAGTAAGGTTCCTTTTAACTTTAACCAAAGGGAGTTTGGGATATTAGCCACTCAACTTTTGAGGTCAAACTGAAAGATACCAGCTGAGGTGTTCCAAGTGAGGAGTAGGGAACAAGCATGTGAACTGCCTTTTCAGTGTCTGATCCAGATGAGTAGGGATGTGGGGTCATGTTCCATAGTTAGTATGCTGAAAGCTGTGATATACAGGTGAACCTTGCCATTCATGGGGGATATGTTCTCGTATCCCCCACAAATGGCAAAATCCGTGAATAAGGCACTTCGTTCATGAATGCAGTCTGTGTTCACGAACGCAATGCCCCGGGCGGGTGGGGGTAGAGCACGGCTCCAGCGGTGGTGGCAGGAGCCCGGTGGTAGGAGCCCAACAGTAGCAAGCATGGAGCTCCTGAGGAGCTCCTGGAAGTGTATAAAGTGTATTTAAAATGCGGGTTCGGCATTCGTGAATATTTGAAACCATGAATGCCGAAGCCGCGAGTAATGAGGGTTTCCTGTACTTCAGAGCTGATGGAGAGCTACACTGAAATACACTATATCCCTCTGGACACGCACTGCTAACTGGAGTTCTAAAATTAGCTGGAAAATTTTAAAGCTTGATAAGTTTAGCCTTCCTGCTTTGAACTATTGCATTAGGGATACTCTGGCTATGAGATGTATGGTTAAACACAATCATAAAATCATCATAGGGCTGGAAGGGACCCTGAAGGATCATGGGGTCCAGCCCCTTGCATGAACAGGAAAGACATCTGGGGTCAGGTGACCCCAGCCAGGTGACCGTCCAGTCTTCTCTTGAAGACCTCTAGGGTAGATGATTGCACCACCTCTGGGGAGAGCTTATTCCATAGTCTGGATACCCTAGTTGTAAAGAAGTTTTTCCTAATGTTTAGCCTGAAACTATCTTCCAGGAGTTTGTGGCCGTTGTTTCTAGTTTTCCCCCAGGGCGCCCCGGTGAACAGTTGTTCAATGAGCCCTTGATGAATGCTTCTGATATAGCAGTAAGCCGCAATCAGTTCCCCTCTCAGCCTTCTTTTCTTTAGGCTGAAGAGTCCGAGGTCCCTCAGCCTCTCCCCATATGGTTTGCCATGCAAGTCCCTGATCAGAAGGGTGGCCCTTCTCTGTATCCTCCCGAGCTTTAGCACGTCCTTGTTGAAGTGTGGCACCCAGAACTGGATGCAATACTCCAGCTGTGGCCGTGCCAACGTTGAGTAAAGTGGGAGAATCACTTCTTTGGTTTTACTGGAGATGCATCGATTGATGCATGCCAGAGCTAATTGCCAGCTTATATGCATGCTGGGGTCTATTCTTACCCCCAGATCCCTTTCATTTGTAGTGCTGGTCGGGTTAGCGATGCCCAGCCTGTAGGTGTGCTGGGGGTTCTTCCTTCCCAGATGCAGCACTTTACATTTCTCTATGTTGAACCTCATCTGGTTCCATTCTGCCCAATGTGCCACCTGTCTAGGTCTGCTTGTATCTGCAGCCTGTCCGCAGGTGTGTCCGCACAACCCCATATCTGGGTGTTGTCTGCAAACTTGGCCAATGGGCTTTTCACCCCGTCATCCAGGTCATTGATGTTGAACAGCACTGGGCCAAGTACCAACCCCTGGGGTACGCAGCTGCCCACATCTCACCAGGATGACACCGATCCATTCATTTGGACTCTCCGTGTCCTACCCCGCAGCCAGTTTCGCACCCACTTGACAGTCCCGCAGTTGAGACCGATATCTTCCAGTTTTCTGATCAGTATCTCGTGGGATACCAGGTCAAAGGCTTTCTGGAAGTTGAAGTATCTGATGTCAACCGCTTTTCTCTCGACCAGCTGACAAGTCACCTGATCATAGAAAGAAATGAAGTTGGTCAGACAAGACCTGCCTGCGATGAAGCCATGCTGGCTGTCCTTCAGTATCATGCCTTCTGCAAGTTTGTCACGTATAGCCTCTTTGATGATTGTTTCTAGGATTTTCCCTGGAATAGAAGTGAAGCTAATTGGCCTGTAGTTTCCCGGGTCCTCACACTTCCCCTTCTTGAATATGGGCACAACACTGGCCCTCTTCCAGTCCTCTGGGATTTCTCTAGAGGCTCATGAGTTTTGAAAGACCTTTGCCAAGGGCTCTGCGATTACTTCGGCCAACTCTTGCAGCACTCTTGGGTGGAGTTCATATGGTCCTGCTGATTTATATACGTCTAGTTTTTTTAATTGGTCGTACACCAGTTCTATGGCAATGGTGGGAATGGTGTCAGTCCCACCCTACTCATTCTGTGCCCTACCTGGTGTGTTGTTCCTCTTGGTCTTGTGAAAGACCGAGGCAAAGTAGTCATTTAGGAGTTCTGTTTTTTCCTGAGTGGTAGTGACCAGGTATCCTGAGGCATTGAGCAGTGGCCCCATACTCCCATTAGTTTCCCTTTTACTCCCTATGTAGCTAAAGAAGGACTTCTTGTTATCCTTGATTCTTGTAGCTAGTTTTAGTTCAGTTTCTGCCTTAGCTTGCCTAATCTGGTTTCTGCAAGTGCGGGCCATTGTCAAGTAGTCTTCCTTAGAGGCTGTCCCAAGCTTCCGTTGTTTGTATGCCTCTTTCTTTTTCTGTAAGAGGGCTGCAACTTCCCTGATTAGCTAAGAGCATTTTTTGACCCTTCTGCTACTTTTTCTCTATAAGGGCATGGATTTTCTCTGAGCCTTAAGGATTGTGTCCTTAAGGAATGAACATTCTTCTTGTGCTCCCTTTACCTGTGGTCCTTGGTCTCTCAGAGCATTCTCTACAAGTGACCTGAGCTTATTAAAATTTGCATTGTTGAAGTCTAAGACTTTGAGCTTGGTATCTGTTTTGTCAGCCTTGCGACGGACCGTGAATGTAATGATTTTATGGTTACCATTGCCCAGGCTGCCCTCTATGTTTAAGTTGGTCAACAGGTCATCTTCTTTGGCCAGGACCAAGTCAAGAAATGCATTGCCTCTAGTTGGCCTGTGCACCTCCTGAGTCAAAAAAAAAAGCTCTTTGGTGCTGGTCAGGAAGGTTCATGATTGATCTGAGCTGGCTGAGCATTCCTCCCTGGAGATGTCTGGGTAGTTGAAGTCACCCATGACAACCATGTTCCATGCACGTGTGGCCTCCGTTAGTTCATGGGCGAATGCTAGATCAAGTTCCTCCCCTTGGTTAGGCAGCCTGTAGTATACACCTACAGTCATGTCTGTCTCACCACGCCTTCCCTGGAGCTTGACCCAGAGGGTTTCAAGCTATTCTTCTTTGGGGCTGACATTGGCCTGTATGGAGGTGTACTGCTGCTTCACATAGAGAGCAACACCCCCACCTCTCCCCTACACTATCCCTTCTGTGAAGAATGTAGCCTTTTATGGCTATGCTCCAGTCGTGAGAGGAGTCCCACCAGGTCTCCATGATCCCTACTAGATCATAGTGCCCAGTGGAAAGCTGGAGGACTAATTCCTTCTGCTTGTTCCCCATGCTTGTTCCCCATGCCAGTGTGTTCCCCATTTTCAAGAAGGGGAGGAAGGAGGACCCAGGCAACTATAGGCCAGTCAGTCTCGCCTCCATCCTAGGCAAAGTCTTTGAAAAAATTATCAAGGCTCATATTTGCAAGAGCCCGGCAAGACAAATTATGCTGAGGGGAAACCGGCACGGGTTCGTAGCAGGTAGATCATGCCTGACTAATCTAGTCTATTTTTATGACCAGGTTACAAAATGCCTGGACGGAGGAGTAGGGGTTGATGTCGTATACCTAGACTTCAGGAAGGCCTTCGATACGGTATCCCACACCATACTGGTAAATAAGTTAAGAGGCTGTGACTTAGATGACTACACAGTCCGGTGGGTGGCGAATTGGCTAGAGGCTCGCACCCAGAGAGTCGTAGTGGATGGGTCGGTGTCAACCTGGAAGGGTGTGGGCAGTGGGGTCCCGCAGGGCTCGGTCCTTGGACTGATACTCTTCAATATCTTCATCAGCGACTTGGACGAGGGAGTGAAGTGTACTCTGTCCAAGTTTGCAGATGACACAAAACTGTGGGGAGAAGTGGATGTGCTGGAAGGCAGGGAACAACTACAAGCAGACCTGGACAGGTTGGACATATGGGTAGAAAACAACAGAATGCAATTCAACAAGGAGAAATGCAAAGTGCTGCACCTAGGGAGGAAAAATGTCCAGCATACCTACTGCCTAGGAAATGACCTGCTTGGTGG